TTTGAGATGTTTTTGTTGGTAGTACGGAGGGTATTTATTTAGCAATGTGGAATAATAATTTTTATTTATAAAAACTTGTATTTAAACTGAATCCTTTTCTAATTTGCGAAACCAAATAGCCGCCATTTTGCGGTAGGAGGAGCGCATCGCGTGAGCGGATAAAACAGGGCACTGAAATTAATGTTGTTAAATTAAGATATGTTTGTTTTTATGAGTACCATAACAACCTCTTTTTGTGTAATACCTAACAGCCTGTGGCATAGGTACTAATTATTAACTAAAAAAATGTTTAAGCGTATTATATACATGCATTGTCTTTTTAATCATATCAGTAAGTTATATACTTGGGGATTGAAATTCAAATTATAAAGGCAAGCAAGACGAGTGGAAAACAAAAATTTATGAAAATTTTGGATCATGTACTTTCATGGTTTTGTAACAGTATAATAAGAGCAAGCAGACCGAGTCAGGGGGTCTACTCGCGTCCTATGTCCGAAACAATTACTCCCAAATAAGTCATTCTGGACCAAATTCAAAAACAAAGTCAAGTATGAAGCTTCATTCGCATCATGCGTGTTTTAATTTGATCGAATATTTCTTAATTGACAGTAATTGTTTCGGATGTCGTAAGGAGTGCGAGCGTATACCTCCAGCCAGAGGCCTGTAGCTTGTTAACAGACACTGGTTCGAGTCCAGTCAGAATTTTTATTTCTGTTGGTCGATCTTTGTATTAATAATAAAACTAGTGGGGTCCCAAAAGAGAGAGAGTCTCAAAAAGTATATGAATGTCATAGTAATAAAAACATCATGATATTCAATAAAATAGATAATATTTATTATGTAATCAGACGCGCTTTAAATATATATTTATCATATTTTGCAGACGTCTGTTGTATGTAATGATATAATAATTATTACACTTTGCAGTTATTAAGCATTAATTAACATAAATTATTACAGACATCTAAAAAATCAACGAAATGTGAGATCCGAGCTTTGTTCCAATTTAGTCGACTGGTTCTGTAATTTGAACCACGGATTCGCTAAATTGGGCTTCAATAGGCTCTGAGGTAAAACAAATAAAAAAATAGAATGAAACATTATATAACATACGTAGTAAATAGTCTAGGTAACAAACCTACTAATAAAAAAAATAAGCTTTTCACATTATGACAATTATCGCAAATGGTTCTTGATTCCAATTATAGAATCGCGTACACTGTGTCCAATCAATCAGGATTTTGAGTACCTACATGGTTCTTGATTCCAATTATGGAATTGCGCACACTGTGTCCAATCAACTTGTAAGCTCTTAATCATGGTAATTTCTTTTGCATTTAGCACATTTATTATCCTTGTCTTCTGATCCAAGGCTGCTATTTGAATCGTCCAAGGTCATTTGAACATCCATTCATTTCACACTGTGTTGGTCCATTTTAACCAACAGTATTTATTATAAAAACAAATGTAACAAAATATAACCTATAAATGCCGGCAATAGTATCATGTAAGTTGATTGTAGATAAATTACACTTCTATGCTGTAAATTACAAACACTGTACTCGTATGCTTACCTTTAAGTTAACTACACTCTTAAAACGGATCTATGGAATTTACATAAAAAAACTAAAAAAGATTTTTCGGAACAAAACACGGACGTTCAATATCACAATTAAAACAACGTGGCCAATATGCAATGAAGTTAACGCATACGCTGGGTTATACTAATAAATCAATTTAAAAAATGCGGTTTGAGGGTGGTCCAATTTAGTTGCCGGTCCAATATCCCTTACTTTTGCCTAAATTGGACTAAAATGGCGGGTTTTGAGTTACAGTTATTATATACATAAATTCGCAGGATTGTGAATGAAAACGAGACCCAATTAGTTCTCGTTTAGATTGAGCGTGTATTGAGCGTCAAAAATTCATTATCATGCTTGTCCCAACAGGGGTGGTACTAGAAAGCTATGGAGCAGGCAACATCCCGTCGAACCGACCGGACCTGATCGATGTAATAAAGCAGGCAGTAAAGAGAGGAGTTATCTTCGTCAATATTACCCAATGCAATACTGGATCCGTCTCCCCTTTGTATGAATCTGGAAAGGTAAGGTGCTAGTACCTATATTTATGTCTAAAGATATGTATACTGCCGTCCTTGTCATAAACAATGCATTTGCATTTTTGTAACATTCGAGATAAAGTTTTTTTCTTGGAAAAAAGTGAATTACGCCTGACTGGTTTGTAGATATTGTTTCGCTGAAAATTCGATTACGTTTTTATAAGTTTACAGCCAATCATTTTACCTGAGTTACCTGTGGGTTAAGTATACAAAATGTGCTTATAACAGCCCACGTGTACAATACAATAACGTTTTCAGGGTGGTCAGTCAGGCAGAAGCGCACATACGCAGTTTTTTTCTATTTCAACGGTTAACAACTACAAAAGTTAAACTACAAAAGTTAAACAACTTATGTTTTTGAACGCTTTTAAACGCCAATGAACAAAATGTTAATATAATAATGTCATGTCATAAATAAAAATATAACTCGTTTTACAAAAAAAAGTTACTTGTCTTAAAACCTTTAGTGGTCTACTCTTGCGTTTCGCTAACAACACAACGTTGCAAGCTTTTTTTAACATAAAAGTCCATGCGCTTAAATGTTTTCTAAACGGTTTTGTTAGCTTCAAACTAACAAGCGTTTGAGTGAAAAACGTTTAAAAAGCACGCTTATTTAAACGTTTAAAAAAATAAGCAGTTTTTCCCATTTCTGCTTCCAAGCGATAATGCGAAAAAAATAGTATCGCTTATGACTCGTGTCAGGTTCTGGGGATCAACTCACGATCTCCGTCCAACATTCGTCTGAAACAATTTTTGTGAAATAAGTAATATTCGACTAAATTAAAAAACAATGTTAAGTATGAAGCTTCATTCTCATCATGCGTCTTTTAATTTAATCGAGTATTAATAGAGTACTTTATTTGACAATAATTGTTTCGGACAGATGTAGGACAGAGAACGGTAGTAGAGCCCCAGAACGGAAGTAGTCTTGAAAGGGTTGTAACCCTAAGGGCGCGTTCCCACTATGTCGTCACGTTTTATTATCGTTGAACGGCTGTCGTATCTAGCCTGTGCCCATATCACGACTATCTGTCGTGGACGATTTTTTATCGTTGAACGACTGTCGTGACTATCTGTTCCCGCTAGATCGTGACGACAATTTATCGTTTCACGACAGCCTCCTTGCCCATCTCTGGCTACGACCCAACGCTACTGCAAAGCGGGCAGAGGGCGCGGGGTACGAGAGGGGAGGGCAGGGAGCAGAATAAGTGCGGACAGCGATAAATAAAACGTGAAGTTTGTCGTTGTAACGATAAAAAGTCGTGAACGACAGTTAATCGTGTCGTGCTATATGTGAACAACTTCATTTAAATAGATAGACAAACCACAACACTGTAAACTGCACGACAATCTGTCTTCACGACATAGTGGGAACGCGCCCTTACAAGCCATGACCAGGTTTACGGCAGTATAACAGAAAACTTCCGGTCCACAAATTTATTTAAAGTCGGGTTAAGAAGAAATGGTAACAAAGAAGAAAGGAGTAAGGCTGTAACAATTATAAGGTATATATAGAAAATCAGGTACATTAATATAAAACACTTCCTAACTTAATGATGATGAATATAAAAAGTTATTAAGTGGACACTTACCCTAAAAGGGCCGAGTTACTAACTATTACACGTTAGATGGCGCTGAAACTCATTTTTCGTTACACTAAGAACTCACGGAGCGGTTCTCACCCGCGTCTGTCGCGGGGCCGCGGCATCTGTAGAATGTAACAGTTAAGTATGTAAAATTAGTAGCACGTTTCACGGCGCATTTTACGCCTGTAGTGGTGACGGTTGCTCGCGGTTGCCGCGGCGGGGTACTAGTAGAACCGCGCAGGACGCGATGACCTGCGCGCTTGGCGGTCGTCGTCGTCGCCCTCGCACGCGGGGTGAGTTCTCAATTAACCGCGCGACTTGCAATTAACTCCCACTAACTTCGCGGTCTGTTCCGCAATGGCAACGGTTTCGTGCCCGCAACCGCGGCGGCTACGTGCCCGCACAAACTTGCATGGTCGTGAGTATTGAAATAAAACCGCTGTCTCTAACCGTAAACTGACGCTACTCAACGAGGGATGTGGTCCTACCTAATCGATAGTTAGAAACCATGTGGCTGTTTTTAATATTAAAAAATATTCAATTTTTCATACTATATCTACACTGGTACTGGTGTATTATTAAATTAATATATTAATATAAAATATTATTATTTTCTTAAAGGCGGCCACTAGGCTTGGGCCAGTGTCAGTTTTCCATTATACGTTACCACGGGTTGGTGAAGCTGTCACTGTCAAAAGTAAACTCGAACCATCAACGAATTTAAAAAATTAAACTATGTTGTTTTTTTTATGAAGGATTTATGTAATTTTCTATAATTGTTTCTAATTTATTTTGCACACACATGTAAAATAAAGCCGATTTTATTTTATTTATTTTTTAAATGCATTGGCTATGGAAATTGAAACAAAGTCTGAAAGAAATAGTAATAAGAAAACCAATCTTTCGATTTTCCTGCAGCTTCAATCTAAACTTCTTTTATTTTAAACTCATTGGAAAAACTTAAAAATTAAAAATACTCTACGTTTAATCTACGAGTATAATGGAATTTAAAACAAGCAACAGCAACATACAAACTGACATGAAATTGAAACGGTTGTCCGAAATATGAGTTGTGTTAAAGTTACTCGAAAAAAAAATGTTTAGTAATAATAATAATAATAAAATAAAAGAAGTCAATTTAACTTGAATGCTTTTCGCTTCGATGTTTTAGGGACTTTAATTACAAAAATCATAGTAAGAAATTCAAACATTTCAGTAAAAATTTATTGTCGATAAACATCAGTCATCGTAAATGAACATCAACATTTGAGTCTCGAAATTTCTACGGAGATAAAAAGAAAACATTGAATAATAATAGAAATAGTAACTAAAAATGCAAATAGCCGGTGGAATGTTATCTCACTGGTTTTAAAATTTTTGTTTTCTTTCAAATTTTTACAAGGTGTATCGCAACAACTTGGCATTTTCACGTTTTACGAGAGATCTTGTATGTACAACGATCGCCATGTCACTGTGGCGATGTTTGTAAGCATATCATCTCGATATGATCATTTTGATCATATCGCGGCGACACGAGACACGCCCTATAACATATAACATATCTCCCCTTTTTTTTGTATAATCTATGGGTAAATGCTGGTCGTTTAACGAATTGTAATAAATAATCAAATTTAATCAAAAATAAGAAACCGAACCGTGGAGGTGGTCTGCAGACCTCCAAGAACCAATTTATTTATTTTTACATTACATTTATTAAAATTTCAACTATTCAGCTCAAGTTAACAGAAATTTTAGTTTCAAATGTTGATCTCATTAAAATAAACTCTTCTTCGTTTTAAAGTTAGTAAATTCTTGTAGTGTAAATTAAAACTATTTGTAAATGCATTGAAAAATAGACTAGTATAAAAAAAACGATCTCCCGATTATGCTACCAAAAACAGATAATATGAGTTAAACTCCTGACAGGGTCATTTAGAAAACTTTACTTTTCTTAAGTTGTTGTAGGTAATTAAATTTTTTTTATTGAATTGATATTCAATTATTTTTTGTGAAATTACTCCACTAGTTTGTTATAATTATTAATACAAAGATCGAACACTCAGAAAAAATTCCTTCGATCCGGTCGGATTCGAACCGACGTCTTCTTGCATACCGTGCCAGACGCTATACCAACTAAGCCACGGAATGAACCAACGGACCTCACACGAATTTTTCTATGTGCTTGCGTCGTGTCTTTGTACTTGGTTTTTCAACGACTTTTTACTTTGTTTTTTTTGTAGGTAGTTTAAGATAACGCATAGTTTAGAAACAACATGTCTCCCGAAGATTCTATGACAGGTGCATTTTTTCGGTAAATGGTATTGGGTCGCCAAACACGGAATTTAGGGGTGTTAATTACTATCAAAGTAATACAATAAAATACCCGCATAATTAATCATCATTCACATGATGACTGATCAAAGAAAGTGATTGATCAAAGTAAGCGACTGATGGGGTGCTGATTAACGACTGACGTCAATGACCTATTAAATTACAAAGTTGTTGCCCTGAGTACCTCCCAGTAGTTGCCTCCAAACAAAAAACTTAGGACTATGTTAGTAAATTACACTTAATAAAATAAATAAAATAGAAATACTTAAAAATAAATAATAGAAATTAACAATAGGTATGCGGAATTAGAATTCATGTCTGATCATGAATGAGATCGACGATTTCAAAAATGGAATTGTCGTCCCCATTGTTTTAACGGAATTAAATAATGTTTGACAACAAAAACATAGAATAATGTAGATGGTGGATGGATACGTCAACACACAGAAAGCTTCTTTGTGTTCGTCTTTAATAATTATAGTAAACTAGTGGAGGAATTTCACAAAAATAAACGTGTATCACGATAGTAAAATAATATAATTAAATGAAGAATGAAATACTCTTTATTGCACATAATTTTACAGTGACTTCATAGACAGTAACATAAGTATAAAAAGTGCCAAGTTAATGTACATCCGGCGGCCTTATTGCTATGTAGCAATTTCTTCCGGGTAGCCTTAGGATAAAAATTGGGGATATGCACCCCATTTGCAACCAAAGAATATCTTCAAAAATACACTACATAACAAGTTCTAATAAATATAATAAAATATAATTTTACAGCAATTGGAAGAATTCGGAGTGGTATCAGGCTTCGACATGACACCAGAAGCAGCGTTGACGAAACTCTCCTATGTCCTCTCGAAAACCGAACTCAGTTTCCAGGAGAAAAAAGAAGTACTTAATGCTTTTTTTGGCTTTGAAACAAAATTGAAATACATGCAAGAAACGAGATATAGTCTAATTATTTCTATTCATCTACCAAACTATCTTTAAATTTTCAGATGATGGCCAAGAATCTCAGAGGAGAATTAACTAACTCGGGTTCGGTGCCCGAACAACTCGACGTAAGTACCAGAGTACTTTATAAGTATTGCGAATATATTTGGACGTCTTCAATGAAAAGTATAAATGAATGAATAAACGAATGAATAAAAAGTATTGATTTTTCTATCAAAATTCTATGAAAATTTACTGAGTTCTTCGGTTTTCGCGATTGTTATAAATAGGAAATGAAACTATTTTTTATAGTGAATGGCCCGACACGTTAGTTTGTTTATAAAAACAAATAGACACGATGCGATTTAGAATAAAAAAAATAGTTGCATTTGCTATAAGTACCTATGTAAGTTTCATAATAAAAATATTTATTTCTAAATAATATTTAAATATTTGTAATTTTTCGGCATGGTTTTTATACGTTCTTCTTGCAAAGTATCTCTATATTCTAATCCAATACTAATTATGCTGACTCTTGAAGACTTCAACATTTCCTGTTAATGAAACTTCTTCTGCTTTCTATACAGTGCCAACAAATTTGTTACGAATGCTTCTAAAGTCAAAAACTTAACTCATTATAATCACTTTCAAAATACAATAATCAATTGAAGAAAATAACTTGATCCTCTATATACGCCCTGTTAATACCGCAAAGATCTAAGGGCCAGTGACGCTGCACTCGTCACCCTAAGAAGTCCCATGTGCCTGTAATTTCACCAGCACCTTTACCGTTCAAGTACAAAACGCAGTAATACTCACATTACTGCTTGGAAGCAGTACTTCCCTGGACGAACCGTTCACACGCAGCTCTACTGCTACTAAGTCTCGTTACTTAGGGAGTCACTACACATAGACAGATAGATCTTAAAAAAAATTGTGTACATGTAATAAGAAAGAGACGTTATATGTTTCGGCGGTCCAAGTGAAACGCGCAACGTCTTATTACTGGGTTTAATGATTTCTCTGACTGGCTCAAGCTAATTCTGCGTTAATAACTGTGGTAATTCCCTAATATAACCACAGATAAATAATACTAATACAGATGCTCAATCTTATACAACGAAATGTTGAATTCGTAAGGGCGCGTTCTCATTAAATCGTGACGACAGATAGTCGTGCAGTTTAAAGTGTCGTGGCTTGTATATTTATATGAAGTTATTCACACATAGAACAACACGATTAACTGTCGTTCACTACTCTGCTGTCGTAACAATGGGAAGAGCTAGAACAACAGTCCTCAGACGATAAATAAAACGTCACGATAAAAATGTAACAAGAAATAATCGCAGCTTTCTAACGATTCTGTCGTGCAAACGACAAGGCGGCTGCCGTGAACCGATAAATTGCCTTGACGATCTAGTGGGAATACCTAGACACGACAGTCGTTCGACGATAAAATAAACTTCTACGACGCAGTCACGACAGATGGTCGTGAAAATCGTGATATGGGAGCAGGCTAGACGCGACAGTCGTCTAACGGTAAATAAAATGTTACGATAATGGGAACGCGCCATACCTTAGCTTATTTTGGTTCTTATCGCTGATGAATGCGATGATGAAGCTGAGTCTGTACTTTTAATATTTTAAAGTAATAGTCAATCCTAAAACGTTATTTAGTTTCGAGAATATATTCAAATAAATGCCATCAATACAATTTATTGCAAAGTAACAAATCAAAAAAAGAAACCTTCGATTTGTTATCTTTTCAGCATTGACTTACAAATAAATGGACGACGACGGGTCTAATACAAAAACCACGAAAAAAATGTCCCAAATCAACCTATTTAAACGTAGTGACATGTAAAGGAATATGAAAAATTTAAACGTTGAATTTAAATTGTAACGTCATCGCAGTACTGTCTAATTTTGCTTGCTGCGCTGTCAGTCGAACAAACGAAGACTAAAGCGTGAATGACGCTCTGTATACGATTTTAACGCCCTATAAGTTCGGACACTTTTTAGCGCGGACCCGACGTCCATATAATTGTAAGTCAATGCTTTTCAGCGACAGTTCACTGTTTTCACCTATTGCAATTGGACGTAGTAAAGCAAAAAGGATCCAATCCACAAAATTATCAAAAAAAGAGTTATATGTACCAAACGGTTCCTAAAGTCTGACCTCTTCAATCAGCAAAAATATCGAATATATAAACATAAATAAATATCTCTGGAGTTACGTGACATTATAAGTTATGAAAATAAAACGAGAGTGAGAAACACTTTTAAACTTCAAACTGCCATATCTCGAAAGTGACTGGATGTGCGTTGGCTCCTTTTTGTTTAACTACGTCCAATTGCAAATGGATTTTAAATGAACATTCCTAAATTTTTTTTTTTTATGTTACCCAAGTGTCGTCATCTACAGTTTTAAATATGTACTAAAATTCGAGTATATGAAATTGATATTTTAGTATAACTAGTATTATATACATACCAATGCCATTATATTTCTATTCAAGGGTGAAACATTCATAGACATACTGGCGAAGACCCTGGACGTTCAGCCAAATAAAATTCTAACTGAAAACGTTTTCTCTTCTCTTCTCCAAAGTGCTGTTGAAAACGATGATTGTGTCACTTTGAAGAAATTAATAGGTGAGCTATCCGTGGCCCCAAGTCTGCTAATTTCTAATCATTTCAGTTGCGTGTCGATAGAGTCAATGGCAGGATTTTGTACGTTTGGTATTTTGAAAGAAAAAGAGAAAAGAAATAGAGATGAAATGCCATTTAATTTGTTTGAAAACTATTCTGCCAAACTGCCAAATCATTACTTGACGGGTGTCGTCAATTGTTTCACTTCAAATCGACCAGTTTAACTTGAGCTTTGCTATAATGGACGAAAATTGCAAAATCATGTATTTAATATTTAATTACTGATGAAATGTGATTCCGTTTGTTTTGTACTTAGATGTTTTCTGTTTTTCCCACACCGCCGAATGGAACAGCCCCCATAGTTAGACATTTAATGTTTATTACAATAATCACAGAAAGAATATTTTTGGAATATACGGAGACGTACACAGGTCTTTGTTGGTGCTGTACTATTTCAGTTTTCTAATTTGTGATTTCAGCGCAAACGAGAGTTGATATTTAAAAGTTATGTAAGGCCCATTTGCCTGATGAGTAGCCAGGGATGGCTGGCCCTTATTTCGTCTCTATTTCTGGCTATATACTTGGCTAAAAGATAAGAGTAATGACTGCCATTGCAATTTTTTGGCATTCTTCTTTTCAATAACTAGTAGTTTACTAATATTGTTTCATTTGAAGGCTAAATTGCCAGGAAAATTGATATAAAATTAAGATATTCATAGTAATTTCATGGTAGGTTTAGTTAGGCAACATTGATCATTAGTTATTGAATGAATGAACGCCATTGCAATTAGATTTAGCAGAATAACAAATTTTGTTCTAATTGCAATATGATCTCAGCGGAGTCTGAATGAAGTTACAATAGTCAGTGGTTTCCAGAAAATTAGTAGAATTGGGGCTCTGAACAATTGTATTGTCCTGTAATTGTAAAATTAGGATTAAGGGTTTTACAGTCCACAATGGTGCTGTTTTGCCCAAACGATTTTTTATTATTTCCTCTACAGTACTGGCACGTTATGATAGCCGTGTTGCCGATTACAATAGTGAGGTCAAATCTCAATTCATTATCGAACAAAATATAATCAAATGCGAGTCGTATCTATAATTTAAAAAAAATTATAACTAGTATTGCAAGGGGTAGCTAATTAAAACGTTTTATTAAAACGAAAATATTTTTTTTTACTTAATATATCGCCAATTTTGATTGCCGGTGGCGCTGGCCAGCGATCCCATAAGTGACTACCATTAAGGCGCATTTATTCGACTCGAATGCCATCGCGCTTACCCTCTGCAGCAACAGCTCCACTCGGCATGAGGGAGTCTACGGCGGCCGCTGCGCGGTCGAAGAGCGGAGTCCGCGGCGGCCGCCGCGCAGCAACCGCGTGCGGCGTCTAACTGTCATGGCAAAATACGCTCTATTTATTTAGCTTTTACGTTTTAATTTGAATTAGCGTCTCGGGCACGCGGGCGAGACTGGCTGGAATTTGGTCTAAGCGGCCCACGCGGTATTATTATTCAGAAAGATTTAAATGTTGTTGCCTAGTAAATAGAATTCAGATTTGCCATTAATGTACATGAAGGCGTGGTAACTGGGTAGTCCTTGCGCGGTGGTCGCGCGAAATCTTTCTCCTCGTGTAACTGAGCGCTTAGAATCCCTTTATAAAACAAATGCCGAGTTGTGTCCTAAAATTATAGGTACATTCCAAACATTTTCTGCACGTCACTATTGACAAGAATATGCAGCAATTAGCTCCATCAATGTAGTTACGAATGAATACGAAACTTGATGAGCGGGCAAACGTCAAAACGGCCATCATAGCGTACCAGTACTACAAAATACCGAAACTTTCCGCTGCTTGTAACAGAGTGCTTTATGAATTTAAATCAAATTAAAAATTTTTCCTCAAACAAATTTTTTGTAGTTAAGTATTCAACATTGACATTTACATTAACACCTTCATAAATTTAACGTTAGAAAAAGCTTTATGCTCAAAGTACCATGAATGAAAAAGACAATGTACACACTCATAGCTCCACACTAAGGAAATTGTATATAGCGGGTGCCATGGACACATAGATAACCACAAGTTACACCCAAACTCACGAGGGAAATAAACTTAGATTTTGTTTCAATGAACACTTCACCCTCATTATGATACACCTAACAAAAAAGTTACAAAATTTAAATAATCACGTTTTGAATATTCTTCAAGTCCGGAAATCACAACATTAATAACAATGAAATTCACAGTTCTAAAGGGCCTTATGACTAATACATGAAATTGAAAAGAAAAGAATGTTTAAAAAACAAAAGCTTAAAATATTATAGATGTTAAAATAAAAAATCAGCTTACGAACTGGCGAAAGTGAAATACTGATCAAGTTAAGGCAGTTCAGATTGTGATTTACTTCTGTCAAATGTATGACAGGATGTTAGAATGTGTTATTAATAATAATTAGATATCTTTTGGGCCACGTGAGAGGCGAGAATCTAAAATAGATAATAATAATAATGCACACGCTCATAGTCCCGCACTAAGGAAACCTTGTATCGCGGGTGCCATGGACACACGCATAGACAACCACAAAATACACTTAAACCCACGAGAGAAATAAATGTAGGCCATACAAATAAATGGCTCTGTGTGGCAGTTCAGCATGGTAGCCACGGAGGCAGTTATTGCAAGGACATAAACACGCTTTTGTATAAATGTGCTGACACTGTATATTATCTACGTTCTTTCAACCTATTGCCTCATTTATGACTTTCTTCTATCAAATCGTAAACAAGAATTATCAAGGTCAAACATATCCATTTCAATCTGATTCACTCAACACCGACCATCTTTCAAATTCTGTTGAAAATATAATTGATCTATAATGTTGGTGCGTACAATCCGATGTTATATTGATATCTTGACCGCAACAGTAAAGTTGTTAGTTACATTAAACTGTTAAAAGATGTTGTTATTTGATGAGATTGTTTACGAGACCTTTGCAATTGCAATTAACGATGATGATTACAAATGGTTAAGTGTCAATTCTTTTATTTTTGCCGTCGTCGAATATTTATATACAAGTAATGCTAGTTACTTTTAATGAATTTTTTTATGTTTTACGCCCACAATCTAAAATTCAGATGATTTAAATCTACTATAAATTAAATCTCTAATCTAATTTAACTCTACTACTATATGATTTACTCAAATATTTTATATGCCCGTACATAATGTCAATAAGAAAGAAGATATCCATGTTAGCCTTAGAGCTAAGTCCAAACTCATGGTATCAAGATGTCGTTTAACGAAGGTAAACGACTCTTTTAAGGGAAACTGTATACGTTTTTACAATAACATTCCGGAGCATATTATATTAATATTATAATTTCCTAAGTTTAAAAAAAACATCAAAAATATTTTGATTGAAAAATCATATTACAAAATTAAAGACTACGTGTTAGATAAAGATGTATGGAAAGACGACATGTCTCTAGATTCCACACAAATTTAATTCAAAATGTATTCCATAGCATTTAAGTTTGTTTATAATTATTTGACTTAGACTTTCAATAAATATTGATGTTCTTATAAGATTTCATAATACGACCCCTAAAATGCTAACCAACCAAACCAAATGGTAACCAAAGCCATAAAATATTTATACGAATGTGAAATTACACCTTGAAGAATACCTGCTTACATCTCTGTAACATTTCATGTTAAAGAGAAAATACGATTTAATGTTTACAGCATCTATAATGTTCCAGATATGGGAGCAGATGTGAATGCACAGAACTCGGAAGGCTACACCGCACTTCACGAGGCCGTCCTAAACGGCAATGTGAAAATGGTAGAGTTCTTGCTTAAGAACGGAGCGAATGTGCATTTGAAAACCAGGTAAAACTTAGCTTACTTAAATTTTTTAATTTGCCAGAAAGTTTATTTCATAGGTTAACAAATTACATGTGAAATAATCAAACTTACAACCTAAAGATCAGCACAAGGCTTCGTTAATAGATACTAAAGAACATAAATTGGGATTCAAAAGAGATTTCGTCAAATATTCGAACCTCAAAAATACCTTCTACTACTTACATTACTTACACTTTTTTTATACTTTGTCAGTGCCATTTCAGCCCAAACTGTTGCAGGTATGTACGATCAGTTTAAGATTTACGTTTTTCTTTGCAAATATGTGTTTATAGGAAATGAAACTATTTTTCCGGATTTAAATCGCGTATATTTGTTTTTTCAAACAAACCAAACAAAAAAACAAATGTTTCGGGCCCTTTACAGGTCCCATGGTCACGGTTGACTGAGGTGGTACAGTCTTGAACCAGTTGTGTCTAATATTGATGCAAACCACCCTATTTTTTCACTATAGTTGCAATAGTTATTAATTAAATACCTTATTTTTAATTTTACAAAGAAACATTCCAATTTACGCAACATTAAGTTTTACAAATTATTTTATTGAATGAATTTTTATTAAGTTCAATTTGTTATTAATTAATAATAGAAATTAGAACAAACTAAAACATATTAATTAGTACTGCAGTCTTATGTCTGTTTGGGATTTTTGGGAATATGTGTTTATTTATGTTCTATGTGCTTTACGTTATACCCTGTGAAGTCATTGTAAATGTTTGTTTCTGCTTGTACTTCTGCTGAATAACTTTTTACGTAAAATATATGTGTGATGATATGAAGCGCCATTTGTCCGTTTTTGTCAATAGGTTTGGCGAACCACCTCTCCTGACAGCAGTACGCAAGAATGATTTAATTATCGTCGATCTATTGATACAATGCGGCGCCCATCTAGCTTCAGTTGATGCTATGGCGGTAGCTGAACTGACATCATTCGCAGCTAGAAGCAACTGCGTGAAGAAATTACATGCTTTGGCCTTGGCTGGTGCAGACTTCGAAACTGTTGATGAGCTGAAGCAAACCCCTTTACACAAGGTTGGTAGACGATTGCTCTATCCGCCTTAATCAAATCTGAAGTGCGGCAGTTCAGTAGATCTTCAGCAGGGTATTATGTAAACTATGTTGGCTTTAGCTTTGCTTTTCATGGACGGAATCCAAAAATTGAACAAAGAGCGTTATAAATATGGCGAAAACTGTAACTTGTTGTACAAGAAATATGCTGAAAAGTTTTATGAATACACGCTAATGACTGTACAAATTTTTGATTATATTTTTCAACACGTAGACGTACATTTGAAACACACACCATATCAAATCCAGAACGGTTGTCACCACTTTAGAAAAAATCCGCTCCGAACAATATAAAATATTTTGTTTCTGCGACCGTCACTCGCTCGCCGCTGTCTGCGCTGCCGCTGCTCTGGGTCGTGGCATCTCCTTCTTTCGCTCGTACATTTGTTTCCGCCTAGCCTCTCGCATCACTGCTACGTATAAATCGCACGCGAAAATTTTTGTCACGACACTGCAAGCATAATGAACTTTATAGTCGATCGTATAACGTACAAACTAGATACGAACCAAAATCTTCCGCGGAATGCGTGAGCTACCTTGAACACGCGCGAAAATTCCGCGGAAGATTTTGGCTGGTATCTATTTAGTACAATACACAATTGAGCATAAAGTTCATTATGCTATGTACAGTATCATTACAAAACGTTACGGTTCCGCCGCAATATAAATTGAGCCTAGAGCGGCGCCTCGTGGCGTGCTTCATACATTTTAATAAATTTGTTCTTGCCGCTCGTCCGTGTCGTGTCCAACTACTTATAGATGCCTGATATAAATAAATGAATAAATTAAATAATGAATGCTGACTTCTTGATAATTCAATTACATTTTCAGGCTGTCCTTTGCAACTGCCCCGACGCGGTCATTTACCTTGCAGAACGGTGCAACGCTCACGACAGTAAAGACATTACCGGGTTAACACCTTTGGACTACGCGAAACAATTGGAAAGGAACGAAATGATCGTAATGCTGGAGAAGCACAAGTCCACCCAAACATATACGTTAGAAAGTACATAATAATCAATGTATAGATCTTTTGACTGTTTAATTTAATATTAACAAAAAGCAAATGGTAACATCATGTATATAAAGTGATAAATTAAAAATGGGTACCTAATCAATACTTCCTGGCTTTCAATTCTAAATGATCGCATCCGCGAATGACTGATATTGTTTCATGACGTCAATAATAACAATAAATCTTTATTACGGACAACAGGAATAAATGAAGTGTTAGTAACTTTAATTACTAACACTTCTAAAAAAATAGCTTTAATTAAGTTAGCACTTAAATTATACTACGGATTAATTGTTTAAATTGTACTACGGAATTTTGTGGTGCCGTATCACGAAGCACTCACTCTTGTCCGCGAATGAGATGAGGGCTCGAGTTATATCATTGTATGGAAAAATTGAGAAAAAATTGTTTGTTTGATGACGTCATGTTTTATAGAAAAATTGGGAACACATCTACATTTTCAACTCCTGCACTTTTTTAAACACAAATAAAAATCAACATAAAGTTCGTCTTTAAGCACATTTATTTAAAAGTAGTTCGTTTTACGTAATTTTACTACACATTAGAGTCCATTATACTTATACCGAATTACAAAAATTTTAATTGAGTCTTAATTTTTGGCACAGGTACCTAATATTTTATTGTACCTAATATTTCTAATACCTTCCAACCCAGTTTTAGAAAACTTAAAACAGCCTTAAGGGTTACGTGTTACATATTATAAAAAGGGTATAATTACAAATATTTTCTTAACACCTCTAGGCAATCGTCAGGTTTCGGCTGTCATTGGAGTCTAACAGTACTTTCAGTCTTACAGTTCTTTGTACTAGTGTTGCAAAAAAAAAAATTAATAGTTTCACTATCGACAGTTGACATTGAAAAACATCTGTAGAATCGACTGCGTAAAAATAGCAATAATATTGAATACTTGCAATACTATCGATACTATCGATTATTTATGCGATAGTCAGGATCAGGATTGCCCTGTTGATAGTTCTGTATCACGCATTACTCTTGCGTTATACACGACACTCGATTGCGCAAAGCTATCGATAGTATCGATTATTTATGCGATAGTCAGGGTCGATACTGTAGACAGCTTTGCGCAATCGAGAGTCGTGTATAACGCAATAGTAATGCGTGATACAGAACTATCGACAGGGCAATACTATCGATAGTATCGACAGTTCATGCGATAGTCAGAATCAATAATATCGATAGTATCGCAAGTATCGATTGTTTTTGCAATACTCAGGGCCAATGCTATTGGTTGTATTACGAGTTATCAATACTATTGATAGTTCTATGGTATCGATAGTATCGATACTATCGATAGTATATCGATACTATTCCATAAGTATCTCATTATCGTCGGTTAATCCATAGTGTATCGATAGTGGCCTCTCGATTGGCAACACTACTTTGAACTTGGTGCAGACCGGACTCACTCAATCTACTTGGAAGTAGAGTAGCTATTACTCTGTTTATATTTTTGTTAACTTGCTGGGTATAGAGCATGAATCAAAACTCGAGGACTGCGAATTGCGATAACAGCGTGGTCGTGTATTTAGTGCCTATGGGTATACCAGATGTCGCTACGAGTACATTAAGGAGACCTATCAATACTTGCGACTCATTATCAAAGCATCAAAAAAGCTAATTGAGTAGAGCCTGTAGAAGCTGGGGTTATAAAGATGACATAGTTTATAACTTTGTCCTGTATTTCACTGCAGATTGGCAAGAAGTTTGTTTTCAAAACGTTCGTTTGCAACGTTCATTATCTCTCATTTAAATATTGTCTGTGTAATATTTTTGTCATATTGAGTTTCATTTTTTACGTCATAAATGTTTTATGTGTGTACTATAAAATAACCCATACTTCAGGTAGGTAAATATTGAATCATGCTTAAATGAAACGTACGTACAAGAACGTTACCTAATCATGTTCGAACTGTATCAATTGCGTTGTGTTCTTCAATCTATTCTGAAATACAATATTTTACAATTTCTTTATTCCCGACTTCTAAAAATATATAAAAATATATTGATAACTAGACATAAACTAAAACGCAAAATTATACGAGCAAAGTCCGTGAACGGCTCTTGGTCATTGTTTGGGCAGCTTTCGCCATCCTTCTTTGTTTTACATTGACACGCTGCAATTTATCAAAGTCACTCAAATTTTTCGTGATAACAAACAAATCAACTAGATGGCGCTTATTGAACAGATTTTCGTGAAGTGCCGGCTATTCTATTTTGTTTAGGATTAGCGCCATCTAGGAATCTATTAGAAAGCGTTAACTTATAAATTTAGTTTGTAAAGCAATGCCATCTATTGATACGCTTTAAAATAATTTTAGCTCATGATCAATACTTGAATCAATCTCTTGGGGGTCGTCGTACTCCTACTAAATACTCCAATACAAGGAAAAAAATTACTTCTTTTACTACATATTAAAGAGGGACGAATTGATATCCACGGCCTCTTCCATCAGCTCCATCTAGACGTAAGATAGAATTTTCACCTTTTTGAAATCTACGGGCTGTAGTATGTAGATTAGAAGTCCTCTCGTGTTATTGGTCCTTGGTATAAAGTACACGTTGTTATCATGATCACGTTACACGCATCTACAAGCCTCCCCTTATGCACGCCAACTTGTGCCTCCTGCATCCAGCCGCTGCCGGCCATCTTTCTCAGGTTGTCTGTCCATCTTGTCGCAGTGCGTACTAGTCTAGAACAACTCTGCTCCATTAACTCGGCCATTAACCCTTCTGCAGACATGTCCGGCCCACTGCCACTTAAGCTTACTGATTTAGCGAGCTATATCATTCACTTTGGTTCTCTGACATATAACTTCATTAGGGATGATATATAAAGTTGTAATAATGTTGCTATAAAAAGGAAAATACTTTTACAGTTCTATATACAGGGTTTTTTGTAAAATACTAACAATCTCGCAGGACTGTATTAGTAAGATCATAAACAACAACTTTAGTTCCATGACTTTCTGCAAAACATAAATATAAATTTATGAAATTTTTTTTTTTGTTTCTGTGTTTGGTAGCAAGGTAGTAAGTTCAAGCGAGCGTTCTCCCCGACGTTATCAGCATTTAGAGGATCTATTTGAATATTTTAATTTTTGTACGAAAGTACAATCTGTGTCATAGTACAATCAAAGTTGTTGTCTAAGATGTTAGATACTTTAAATTTTAGTTTTGTATGTTAATTTCAGTTCATTTTTGAAATGAAGCAAGTATTTGAAATTCTAAGTGTAAACTCCAGTGGAGTATATTAGCTTCTTGCGTGCAACGCGATGTTTGCGCGCGTTTGAATTGATTCACTACGGTTTACGGCGCGTATAAAATACGCCGTGTGCGTGGGTTCTAATAATTACTAGACGTGGAAATTTGTAATACGAGTGCGTTTGGGAATCCGAAGATTGCTGAGAGATATTAATTGTATTGTACTCATAAAAAAATAAACGACTTAGTGTCTGTACTGTCAGTCCATGCTGACAACACGAACCAAGTTTATCTATTGCCTGATTGCCAGTGTTACATGTGCCTTGGACCGTTTTTCACCTTACAAAGGAATTTTATCACTTTGGCATAAGGTTTTATGGTTCGTGCGCTGTACCACGCTTACGTATGGTACGCACAAGTATGGTAACTCCATGAAACGTTGCAGCGTGGTTTGTATGTGTGTACGCCTGCCGCGTGCCGTGTAAGAACGCACACATTCGCATAATTTCGCAATGCACTTGCGTTGCGTAGTGCAGGTCGTATCTTGCGCCAACCATTATTATACGAATGTGTGCGGCTGTACAAGACGCGCGGCGCGCGACAGGCGTGCACATATATAAGCCGCGCTGCTGCGTGTGAATGAAGTTAACATACTTGTTATTATATTTGGTACAGACATATGAAGAACTTGCATTCTGAAGAAAATGTACCTAACTTTAAAAGCAGCCAAAGGAGAGCTATGGGACACTTGAATTTAATATCGAACGGATTCCACGGAACCAGTTAACGCAGCAACATTATTGATTAACGTAGGCAAATGTTCTTGTCGCAACGGACAGGGAGTGTATGTTTCGCATTCTCGTCCCTTCTTGCCGGAAAGCATCGCATCTTCGATCGCCGTCGCGTTGATTAATGATGTGAGAAAAGGATTGCTGAAAATAAAATACTTGTATTAGAGCTCCGAGTCCAGAATTAACGCTAAGAAGTGTCGTGAACCCTTTGTCGGATTGTTTTTTTTTATGAAACCAAGTGACGAACAAGTCGTGCGTCTGGTGGTAAGCGACACACCATAGCAATGCCACTCAGAGTTTTAAATTCCAAAGACTTAAAGGGCACTGCAACTGTATCCGTTATCTTAATACACAGACCCAGAGACATAAGTTGACAGGTTCCATGTGCCTGGATTGTCTGGTTAACCAGTTTTATAGGTTGTAGGTACATGATTCTTTTCGCATTAAGCCGATTTGTTGTTGGTGCGGCCGTTCGGGTTTCCGCGCCGTAGTTCAGCCATCGCGATCGTCTCGGATCGAGGGTTATGCAATGTAGTTTTGCACTTTCATTGTCATTCACCGACGTATTCCTTTGAACTTCAACGCTGCCGTTCTGGCGTCTTCGAAGCAGTAACTCGGGTGTTCACGCCAACAATCAGTCGTCATCATCGACTGCATACGAACGGAAATCGGAACGGAATCGGAAATTCGCAGGAAGCAGACTCGTTTCCTACTCGTGACGAGCTGCGTCGAACCAGCCGATAAAAAAAAACACGTCATTTCCGCTCTTATTACATGGACATAAGCTCTTTCTGACTGGCATGCGATTCTGTGTCGATAAATGTGGTCACTATCTTAATTACAAGGCCATGGATTGTACACATTTATAAAGTACGAATGTAACATTAATCTGAAAGTCACTTTTCTATAGTTGTTTTTATTGTAAAAGTAAGAGTACCTCATGACTTGGTTCCAGACCCTCGGAGTATCAGCAATGGTTTCTTGTGCCGTCCAGCAAGCGATCCTTAAAGCGCAACCACGAACTGAGTTATTGTCTGACAACAACTCGCTGGCGAAATGCAGGATGGCATCCGTGCTGAATTCTGTGCTATCTAGAACTGAAAAAGAATATACCTACATGTCACAGTGAGGAATAATTGTTATTTTAATACTGCGAGCACCTTCTAGCGAGAGACGGCTGGAATTTTTAAAAGTGTAATAATGACCGACCGTACAACGCCATAGCTGGCTTATTGCAGTATTTTTGCAGAGTGAACTCAGGAGTATGAGAATGAATGACAATCGCGAACGAATTGTTTTCCTAGTCAGTGGTTCGGTCTTAACCTTAGAGGATGGAAAAGTTTCCATAGTCTAAGGTCTTAACACTCAATCACTTGACGCGACGGCCGACAGCGTTGATTGTACGCACTGATTCGAATAGATAGAAAAATGGCAAACGGTGATGAACTTTGTTTGTAGCGATAAAAATCGGTTACCATTTCTGACATACATATAATACAAATCATTCAAAATGAATAAGTTACATATACCGGCGACCATAATAAGTATGTATTGTCTGTGTCTCGCGGGGAATGAAGAACACTGTCAAGATTGACCTGATGTAACTAGGTCCTGTTTAAGAAGAAAATATTTTACGTAATTTCTCGAACAAAGTGACAATTAAATAATACAGAATTACGAAATAAAATTCTTGTTATATTTTGTACGAATTTTAATAAGATGCCATTATTCGTACAGGGTTACAAAATAAAATCTTAATATAACAGTGTCAAGGTTTTTTTTCTTTTTCGCACTTTTCATTTAAGGCAACTTTATGTGATCCGCAGCAAGATTTGCCAACAAGAGTTAACAAACGTTGCTCTTTGTCGCAACATCTTGTTTCAGTATCCATATACCATTGATTTAAGCATCGGTAATCATTATCTTTGTGGGTAATCATATATTCTTTCAGTACTTTCTTTATTCTCTCGAACTCTTTGGAGCAGCATACCTTTCCTGCTTCACTATAACTTGGAGGCAGCTCTGGCAACGAGCCAACCCTATACATGCGGGCAAAACCATCGGGTACAGTGCACGGTCGCCCCATTACAGGACAAGGACCCAACTGTATAGGGGGCAACCCGTAAGGAAGAGCCTCAGGAGCTTCTTCTTCATCTTCACCAGCACCCTCTTCTTCAACCGACTTTATCACTGGGCATTTATCTATATGTTTATAAGATGGACAATACGGCTTATGATGTTTCCTGGTGTCTTTTAGCTGTGTTTTTATTAAACATTCGCAATCGAACGTTTTACATGGTGCAGTTGGCTTAGGTGGCTTACAATTACATTCCCCATCGTCGGGTATGTCTGTGCAGAAATTATTAATTGTCTGTCCTTTGCTAGTCGATACATCAAAGTTGTAGATATTAAAAACACATCCCCGTATTGATGATTGAGCATAAGGCGGATCCGGCTCTGATAATGTAGTCAAAGAAGAACTACAGACCTTAATAATCGGCTTGACGACTGATTTAAGTTCACCATTTGATGGAGAATGCTGTACTTGACAAGTCCTCACTGTGAAGTTTGGTCCGAATAAAGACTCAATTAGGTCGGGATTTTCCAAAGTTACGTCAACCATATAATTAACTTGATTTGTATTTTGAGTGTTCAGTTTATCTAGTTTATCTTTACAAGTCTCACCAGATGGAGCGACACCACCACAATTAGGGCATATTTTTTTCTGGGGACCACCGTCAGAGCAAGTACTGCGATGCCAACGTTCATCTTTACATGTACATTGACCGCAAGGTTTATTCTTCAGGTTTTCCTCTTTAGCTGGGAGATCTTTACCTTCAGTTGCTTTTTTATACGCTTCTAAACCTCGCAGGTAGCCTTTAATTTTGTGCGCTAGAATACAATTTGTGTTCCCACATGGACCTCTAATATCTCCCATCTTTATCGTAGCAAGAGGATATGAATGTGGTTGGTCATTACTTGTAAGCTTGCATGCATAGTCTAGCCCAGCAATACCCTTGGCACCGCAACTGTCTAATTCAGTACATACTTCAATCCTCTTATAGGCATTTTCTACTACATCTGGGTCTTCCAAAGTACAAGATTCGTAACAGGTACCTGCCATACAGAAGTTGGGGTCATCACCTTCAATACGTGCACATTTTATAAACATCGGCGACTTATTAGTTCGAAAGACAAAATAATGGGGGTCGGTAGCAAGCTCTTGAAATTCCGTGATAACACTTGTACCTAGAGGGCTGATTCTCATGATAAACGTGATTTCAGCGCACATTCTGCAGCAACATTCTGCCGATAGCGCTGCAGATGATTTGATCGTTAGCGGGTAGTAAAGGTTGTGTGTGTGTGAAGTGTCCTGAAGGAATTCATAAAATTCATTAGACCAAAGAACTTTGCCGAATGCAACAAATATCTGGTTTTCAGTCTGATCGTCGTTCCACATTTCAATTTCTAACGGAAATTTGCTTAACTCATTTATTACCAAATCGGGATATGATGGAAACAAATATGATCTGCCAACTCTTATTCTTCTCGTCCATTTAGCCCGACCTGTCTGGTCACTTTCTTGGATGTCATCTTTTCTCTCCAAGTTATCTAGGAGAAAACTCTCTTTGATGATAAATTTATATTTTGGTCCAAAATTCACCAATATAATGAACTTGTTATTTGGAGCTTGCGGTTCTTCGTCTGCGGCTGGGAATATCGATACTTGATCAATTAATAATTCTAACAAGTACAGTTGTTGATTGGCTGCCATACCCTGAAGAATTAAAAATTGTGTAAACTATAACTGGACAAAGTAAAATGGACAAAGTATAATACAGGATTTCAAGAATGTCCAAATACAAGACAGAAACAAAAAAATCGTTTATTATTTAATTGAAAATATTGTTTTACGGACAGAGTACAAAACTCTGTTTTCTCAATTTTATAATTCGAGCAAATGTGTCACTAATGAAAATAAAACAGCACTTACGGTGTTTATATTTCTCTGTGTTCCTATGAATTCATGTCTTTATATTAAGATTTTATTTTGTAACCCAAATTTAATTTGAGGTCAATATTACAACCTCGTGTTAGTCAAAACTACAAGTCTCTATTTTTTTCGCATTTTTTTGCATGACGTTTTGAATTTTCATCCCGACGAAAATTTAATAGTAGAACGCCATAGCCAACGATATTTCGTGGTCACTCGAATGACAATAAAAAGATTTCATTTTATTTTGGCGGATTTAAGAATCCCAGAGGATGGAAAAATATATTTTCCATAGTCTAAGATGGAAAAAAAGAACCCCTTACAGCAGTCAAGCAGAAGATATTAAAACACCTTAAACTGAGCTACTATACATACAATTGTGTTTTTTTATATATGTAGGGGCTCTGCTGTCGCAATCGGGTGATAACTATTTTGAAGTGAAGTAAAATACGAAATAACGGAGTCGAAATATTATTCTTAAATTTATTTTTTACACAACAAAGATAGGAAGTTCACACAGGTTTATAGCAAAGATACACAGAGATACTCCGGCCGGATCGAAGGAAATTTTTCTGAGTGTTCGATCTTTGTATTAACTAATAATAAATGTATTAATCAATTCAATAAAAAATTAAAATATAGACCATAGGTTCCGAAACTTGTTGGCTCACCGCCCATTTAGGCAAGATAAAAAAATTAACTATATATATTAATAAAAAAATAAACAGTGCCCACCGCCACAAAAAAATAATTGAAAACAATTTGTTGAGGAAAGCATAAGACCGAAAGGAATGGCACGCATTAGAAGATACCTATACTCAGTATTACGTGGATAGCGAATGAAAAAGAAGACAGTGGGTACTAAGAGAGAGTAGAATCAAGAAGAGTTGCGTTTATTTAGCCTATGCGTCAACCTTCATAAAGGAGGAATTTTGGCCAAAGGGTGTCATGTACCCCGTGTCCGAGCCCGGGTACCGGACACCCACGTTGCGTTACACGTGCGTTAAAATTCGTGTACCTAGATAATTACTAATTAGTGTTTGATTGTACCTATTATTATATATGTTAGTCTGTAAGGTATGTATTTACGGGTCTTGTAACATGATTATAAATAAATAAGATATAATATAAAGGTAAGCGAATGAAATTGATGCCATGAAAAAAATGCTGATCAACTTTCAATATAATTTGGTCTATTTATATTGGATATGGTAACTGCCCTGACTCTGGGGCTCCCCATAAGTTTTTAAGTGTTTTTTTTCATTCTTGGCTTTTCGTGGACTTAAAGCATAAAAAGAACATTTTGAAACAGGATCCGGAAGAGAGAGAAAGAATGGATCAAGTGAGGCAATAAACAAACAATTTGTATAGATAAAGAAGAAATATTATATAAATACACAATAACAAAATTTTCCCATTCTTCTTCTTCTTCTTTAAAATGTTATGGCCTCATCGAAATAATCAATGATTTTGCCAATGTCAAGTAGAAATAACTATGTACGGTAGTTTAGTATTATTATAATAATTATACAAAAAAATGGCGATTTCGCCATAAACCCCTTTCTTCGCCACCCGATTTTTATTAATATTTTTTATTATTCCATTAGATGAAAGTAAAAATTATAATCAACAAAAGTAAGGCCACTTATGAGTCTCCTCAAAAGAGTAATATCAGTAGGCTACGACATTCCAAATTTAAATTACAATGAAAGTTCAAACGTCAGCGTGTTTGTTATTGGTTGCAAACGGTCATGGCGGAAAATTAAGTTTGGGTAACAAAATAAAATTTAAAGTATATTTAATAGTAATGAATACCTAATCATAAGACCGAGCGGAAAACAACAGTAAGTACTGAATATAATTCTATCATTTTAATGTTAACGTAATCGAAATTTCGTCAAAACATGACGACAAGTTGTAAACTATTTATATTTTTTGTGCCTCCATTATTCCAGTTCATACTTGCGTCTTAATTTGGTACGGAGTTTTATGAGGTTTATTTGTTGTAATCGAGGTGCACATTTATCTTTTTTATAATTCGCGCAATTTCTCGTTTATGAAAGTCACTGAAATAACTTACTAAAGTAAAAAAAAGAAGAAACCTAGCACGAAAAACGACTAATTTATATTTTACATTGATTGCTCAAGTTGCAAAAGTGATGTGAGTATTCTGACACAATCTATTGATCTACAGGTCATGGGAAGTCAACAAATGTACCTGGTAGAGATATTCATAGATCAAATATCGGTACTTCTTGCCGAAGGCGAAGAAAGCAATAAAAATCTTATCATTAAAATAATATTTGGGCCAGGTGTAGAATTCATCGTAAAAGAAAACCAATTAGCTACATCCCCCAATAGAGACATTGTTGGAGAACAAGATGAAAATGGTCGAAGAAAATGGACGAAAGAGATCAGAGTAGGTAAATCGTATTTGTTCCCGTCGTATCCCGAAATTGTAATCGATCATTTTAGGAAATATCCACTACAAATGGAAGTTTGGAATGACGATAAAAAGGAAGAAAATCAGATATTTGTTGGAATAGGAAGAACGGAATATGACACCGCATTTACCGTGTACTTAAAAGATACCGAGGGAATTTGCGAGCCGCACCCGTCAATGTCTATTAAAACGAATATGACAATATACGCAGAATGCTGTTGCGTAATAGTTGGCGAAATTACGTATATCATAAGACTTAGTGCGTTAGGTGACAATATTGTCACTGACTTTCAGCAGATTCTCAATGACCCAGAGAACTTCGTTTTTCGTACTGATAAAGCTCCTAGCTTATTCCAATGTAGCCGGATTGAGGGTGAGGAGAATAAATATGTAATGTCAGGAGGTCTTTACGAGCTTGCCGTAGCTGAAGGTCCATATGCAGTATCTAGCATCAACAAGGATATTGATATATGTACTGAACTAGACAGTTGTGGCATACGGAAAGGTGCTGAATGTAAGAGTGAATCAGTAAAACTTGAGAAAATCATACCTGATACGATAAGAATGGGAGATATTACCGGGCCATGTGGTAACCCTAGTTGTACATTGGCGCACAAAGTTAAGGCATACATACGAAATATGCAAACATATAAAAAAGCAACATCAGACGCAATTTATGGACTTAAGGAGGCCGACCCGACAGGTAAACTCTGCGGTCGTTGTTCATGTAAAAATGATGGTCATACTGAAGACCCGCTGCCAGGTCCAACATCGAAATGTCCAAGATGTGGAGGTGTCGCACAGTATAATGAGACTTGTAAAGATAGGCTGGATAAACTATATGGAACTGGTGTGACTCCTAGAGGAAGCCGAACCCATTTGATTAATTACATGTTGGGTGTAACTTATGAAAATCCCGAATTGATTAAGTCTTTATATGATCAGAACTTCATTGTAGGTCATAACACTATAGTGAGGAAACGTTCTTGCAGTTGCCAAAAAGGTGTATCTGATAATAAATTCGCAAATCAAAACCAAAGTACAAAGCGCGACAAAAGCTCACAGAAAAACAAGAGTTCTAGTAGCCAAAGTCAAATTACTGGCAGCTCTACACCTATGTCATCAGAGGTCTATACGGACACTATATCAGCAATTCCCCGTGAAAATATTATAAACATTTATAATGCTGAATTACTGACAAATAAAGGACGGACAATCAATAATTTCTGCACAGTTATACCCGACGACAAGGAGTGTAAATGTAATCCACCTAAGCCAACTGCACCGTGTAAAACTTTCGATTGCGAGTGTATGACAGAAACACAGGTAAAAGACACCAGAAAACACCATAAACAGTATTGTCCACGTTATATACATAAAGATAATTGCCCAGTGACGATGTTGCAAGACGAAGAGGGTGCTGGTGAAGATGAAGAGGAAGAGTTTGAGGTTAATCTTCCATACGGGCTGCCTCCTGTGCAGCTGGGCCCGTGTCCAGTGATGGGACGACCGTGTACTGTACCTGACGGTTTCGCCCGCATGTACAAAATTGGAGCATTACCTAACCTGCCCCCTAGTTACGGTGAAGCAGGAAAGGTTTGCTGTTCCAAAGAGTTCGAGAGGATAAAGAAAGCGATCAAGGAATATATGGTTAGCCACAAAGATAATGATTTCCGATGCTTAAACAGATGGTATGTAGACACTGAAACAAGATGTTGTGACAAAGAACAACGTTTGTTAGCTCTCATTGGTAAATCTTGCTGCGGGTCACATAAGTTAGCCCTGAACGAAAAATACGCCGAAGAGAAAAAACCCTGAGACTTCTTATATTAAGTTTTATTTTGTAACCCATAACAAATAAAATCCAATTTAAAATCTTCCGCCCGAAAATGAGACTTTTATTTATATCTCAAGTGTGATAAGTACTTCATTAATTAGTAAACATTTAAAATATCTGAAAGCCTTCAAACAACATGTAACAAATTTTCAAAAAGGTTCCGATTCTGATTTGACAGTACTGGTTTCTGGTTAATGGAGCATCAAGTATGTGGACGAGTAGCTTTAATCCCTGAAACTTTTGTAGCTGTCACAGTGGCATTTAGATAACTGCCTATTTACCTACATAGCTTAGGTTCTTTGTCAACGACTTATAGAATTATGGTTGAAATATACTACAGATTTTAAATATATTGGTTCCTTTTATATATTTGAAGAAAGAGAAACCAGAAAATTCATACGTTTTCCTGGCCAGAAAAGCTTATAAAACTTTTTCATGTTTTTATGATCGAACCAATTATAAAATGATATTCATAACCCAGAAACAAAAATCTTGATATATGGTGTTATTACAGAGATTTATTTTTGTGGTCCTTTAGGCTGTAGGCAGCATTCGTAATAATACAAGTGTGCACATGTTTTGGTGTTACTACATACTATAATCCAACACCTACGCCCACAGGGTAACACATGTATGTATCTACTATAGTCTTAAGTTTATTATAATGTATTATTAACGTGTGAATTACAATAAATGAACGAAGGAATAAACTCTCATCCTCTATTTCGGCACCTTTAAGATTTATTTTTGTGACAAAAAGTATGCCTAAGCCTTTCTCCTACGTCCCGTCTATCTCTAAAATTCATCAGAATTGGTTTAGTGGTTTAGGCGTGAAAACGTAACAGACAGAATTACTTTCGCATTTATAATATTAGTTTGGATTACAGGAAAACTAATGCCTTGATTGAAAAGCGCATTCGTGTAATTTGGACAAATTTAAATCACAATGGCCGACGACGAGGAGACTGAGAAGAAGAAGAAGAAAAAAAGCTCAAAATACAGCTACACCTTTGGGGATGTATACCCAGGTAACTTATTTTCATCACCTTAATAAAAAGCATCAGACAAATTTACTCCTTGACGAGAAACAGAACTCTTGACATTTAAAATTCCTTTGTTTAAAGCATTGACTTACAAATAAATGGACGAATCTCTAATACAAAAACCACGAAAAAAATGTCCCAAGTCAACCTATTCCAAATTTAAATTGTAATACTAAAGCGGAGTGTCGCGCTCTGTATACGATTTTAGCGCCTTACAAGTGCGGACACTTTTTAGCGCGGACCCGACGTCCATATAATTGTAAGTCAATGGTTTAAAGAAACTTTTTTTAAGCCCCACATTAAAGAAACCATGTGTCGTGGACACACATAGACAACCACAAAATACACTAATTTCTTTTTTACTATATGAAGCGACGGGACGAACAAGTCATGGGCCTGGTGGTAAGCGACACGCCTGTCCATGACAGTGGCACTGCCACTCAGAGTTTTAAATCACAAACATACGAGGGGCACTGCCACTGCGCCCGTCATCCTGAGACATAAGTTGACAAGTCCCATATACCTGTAATTTCACCAGTAACCTTCAAAACCGGAACGCAGTAATGCTCGCATTACGGCTTGGCGGCAGAAATAGGTTCCCTGGGCGAACCCTTTCACAAGGCGCTCTGCTACTAAAGCTGCTATATTACAATTATTTCTCCCGACCCGGGAATCGAAGCCGGGAGCTCCGCGCGGCAATTCGGCATGGTAACCGTTCGGTCACGCCGGCGACTGCTTCTAGTAAAGACTTTTACTTGACTGATATATTATGTAATACATCTATTGTTATAATGAATTAACATGATGTTTTCCAGCAGGTATACCTTTACTGAGGAGACTTACTGTGATTATTTTTAAATAAATTTATTGCGATAGTGAGCGCATATAAAAGTTTAAAGGTTACGAATAATCACTGTCTACGTCACGTTGTTAAAAATAGCTACCTATAATTATAACTTATATATAACACGGCATAATGTACTTAGTTATGTTGTAATTTTAGGTGTAGTACTTGGGCACAAATATTGCAATTCAATGCTAAGCCAGCCAGGCTACCCAGTGCCATATAATATGGGATGGCTTTGGACCGCACAAGATGTTCCCGGTTTAAAGGTAATAAATGTCAATACAAATAATAATTCAGCTGTGGCAGAAATAGTCACTTTTTCTTAAAAATGTTTGAACTTTCTAATTACCATATCCACGGCTACGATAATTAGATGTAACTACCATTTCCATAAAATATTTGTGTGTTAATAATTTAAAAACCACTTTGTCTATTCTAATTCCATTTACACATGTTGATGGTTTATAGGTTTTTTTTAGGGTATAATAAGTGAGAAAAAATAATGGTTACGGTAATTAGGTTGAGAACACCGAATGTGAGATTGGCCGATTTGCAGCTCGGTAACTTTCGAAATAGTGATACCATAGAGGCACTTTAAGTTTTATTGTCATCTACAAAAATGACAATTTTGGTACGCTGATTTTGTTTAAAAAATCGATTAGAGGAGTTGTAGATCTTTTACGCTGAATCCAGATCTGTTAATAACTCCATTTTATAACTCTCTATTCAAAAGTTATGCGACCAATTTCGTTCATAGAATCTTACATATTTTATAATTCAATAAAAAAACGCACCTTAAGAAGAAGTCATTACGATAATATTGATTGTTATTAACACGTTCAGATCGGGAACAAAATTACCATTATGTTCTGTCCGGAGGGAAAGATTCTTACATGTCCACGGGTCATAATATCATCGCCTCTTCAACAAAAAAATGTGTCCGGGCGGGTACGCCACCGGTGGATACCTAATTCACCTATTATCTTAAGTAACAATTTACACTACACTACTCTATGAAAATTTGACAAATGCACAGTGTGAGAACGTTAAATTTAGCACTTTCTCTCAAGGCGGCGAGGATTTCTTAGTGTACCAAAAGTCAAATGTTGCGTGGCCACCTATGGTACTACGCCTGATGGATGAGCTGTCCCTGCTCCACCGAAATACATGCCAGTCTGAACGTGTTACATTTACAGATCGTATTGGGTTAATTTGATCATTCAGATCATTTTGAAGCAAACCAATAATTAATTTCGTTTTATAATAGCCACGGCGAGGTTGGTCACCAGGTATGATTGGCAAGAGTGTGGCAAAGCTTATGACCTTTAAATGTCCACGAGGAGGGCAAGATAGAGATAAGAAGAAGAAAAAGAGGAGGACGGCAGGTGCAGGTGCTCAGCAGGGCGGAGGGGACTCGGAAGCCGACGAACCTTTGCAACCGAAACCAACCTTGCGAGTGCAGAGGAAAGGCGATGTGTTTACTATACAGGTATCCGTCATCCCTGTAATCTGCACGTGTACTCCATATAGCTTAGTAACATAGTGAAGATCACGCTTTATCTTTTGAATTTGTCGTGTATTTACCTTGTGGTAGATTCTTATAACTAATTTTTAGTTTTCTTCTTCTCTTTCATTATAGGTAAAGCTGAAATGAGTTTTATTTCCTGCAAAATATTAGGGAACTACCTAACGTACGTGGATATTGCGACACTTCTGGAATAACAAAACTATCAAAAACGAAATCAAAGTTTCAAAATATTAAATAGTTAAAATAGTGTTGAAGTTTCATATCACATTCGTCTTTCCAGGTAAATCCATTGAAAGATCTGACAGATATAAAGCCAAATGAAGACCCTTACGTAGATTGTGACCCGATGGTTTTCAAGATTATCAAAAAACGTAGCCCGGAAGAGCGAGCGAAAGTGGAAGCTAGGAAAATGGTGAAGTTAAAAAAGCAACGTGATGCTGAAATACGGAAGGCTCTAGCGGAAGCCGTGGAAGACATCTGCAAATGTGCTTACATGGACGTCTATTGTAACGATCTCTCTGCGATAGACAAAGTGATCGACAGTTGTCCCGCGTTCAAAGAGCCTGATTGTGTTTGCGCTGAAGAATCTCTCAGCTCACTGTCCAGCAACGCAACATGGGACATTGAATACACTCCACCGTTTGGATGCTTCGACTTGGCTCCACGCAGAAGGAAAAACTTTATTCACGTTGAAACCCAATACCTACCGGCGGACGCTGGCATCGAAGAAACGCAAAAACCATGTAGAAAGCCCTGTATAATATTGAAGCATAAACCACGTACCAGAAGAGGTTTATGTAATAGGAATTGTCAGCCCTGTCGTGCGTGTCATTGATACTATCAAGTGAAATTTTGATATGAAAATTGAAAGTGTTTAGCCTAGATAATTTATAGCTATAAATTGTTTTGTTGTATTGAAAATCAAAGACCCCAAGTTTCGTGGTAAAATTTCAGATCGTGTTTCATCGATTCAAATATATTACTCCGAAATAATGTTGACTTTATTTTTTAACGGTCATACTCGAACACGTCTGAACAAAAAGAAGCAATAACAAAACACGTATCTATTCTCTTTCATAATTTAGAATGGTTGAAAATGGTTGTAGACCAAACACCCTATATAATATGACCTTAGACGTCTTGGTTGTTGTTAGTTCAAGTTAGGGGTGAGTTGACATACAAACGCGAGCGTAGGATGTTTAAAGTTTATTAAGTTTAAAAATACACAAGTTATAATGAATGCTAAAGTGATCGATTGCGACTGCGTAATTACGTCAACTGATGATAATAGGTAAACTCTAGACTGAAAACTCATTTACAGAACTAGTGGGAGAGAAAATGCTCAGTAGTTCTGTGAAGAAAACGGTTCATTTATCAACAGAAGAAATGGGAAGAAAAGTACCAGAAGTGTACAACAGAACTAGCGGGAGAGAAAATTCTTACTAGTTCTGTGAAGAAATCTGTCTATTTATCAACAGAACAAATGGGAAGAAAAATACCACTAGTTCTGTCAACACAACTGTTCAACAGAACAAATGGGAAGAAAAGTATCAGTATTTCTGTCAACACAACTGTACAACAGAACTATTCGGAATAATGGATACTGGCTCAACATAAAAAAGCCTTGTACGTGAACCACATACTCTATTTTTAATAAAAACAAACTGCAATTAAATTAATATTAAAGAGATTCTTTTTACTTTGGACATTTATCAAACTCTTAATGGAATTTTGTAGATACAAGCTACAAAATAATGTTTATAGCAACAAAATTATACGATACGTGATTTGTTGACCCAAAAGTTTTATGATAATTTTTTAAGACAATAAAAGCTCTACGGACTTGGGAATATATTGATTCTAGAATAAGTTATGAATTCATAATCGAAGTGCACTAAGCTGAGTCTCGAATTACACAACTCAGATTACGAAAACGAATTTCTTCAGACGTAGATATATATCTACATACTACACACTCAACACATTCAACATAGCCCCGCACTAAGGAAACCCTGTGTCGCGGGTGCCATGGACACACACGTAGACAACCACAAATTACACCCAAACTCACGAGAGAAATAAATGTAGGCCATACAAATATTTCTCCCGGCCCAGGAATCGAACCTGGGACCTCTGCGTGGCAGTCCGACATGGTAACCGTTCGGCCACAGAGACAGTTACCTAACCGTACATAATCAATACTAGATTTCAGAATTCACGTTTATTTTATTAGCTAGGCGGTGCGAGGACGTCTAGCGGCGCTATGAAACGGTGTGATGGCTTTCCATCGGGCAAGAATGCGTCGCCAAGCGTTTTTTTCTTGTAATATCAAGTGATGGGATGAACAAGTCGTGCGATTGATGGCAAACTCACGCCTGTCCATAATAGTTGCAGTGCCACTCAGAGTTTTAAATTGCAAAGATCTGAGGGGCACTGCCATTGCGCCCATTACCCTGAGACAAGTTGACAAGTCCCATGTGCCTGCAATTTCACCAGCACCCTTTCCCTTCAAAATCGGAATACAGTAATGCTGACATTACTGCTTGGCGGCAGAAATAGCTAAGGTGACAATACTTCCCTGGACGAACCCTTTCACAAGGAGCTCTACTCCTACTAAAGCTGTGAAACGGTGTGTTGCTGAGCAGTCCGAGGAAGAGCAGCGGTTTCTTTTCTGCTGTGCGCGGATGGGGTATGCTGTGATGGGGTGAGCGGAGGCGACGGCGAGTTCGCGTATCTCGCACCATTGTTCGCTCGCATACCTCGTACACACAGCGAGGCGAGGAAAATGAAGTAATTAGCTATTGGGGGATTTTTTCCTCGCACACCGCCTAGCTACCTCGCACATCTCTAGTGGAAACGCAGCCTAAATATACGTGTACTTACTTTTAGCATATCGTTGCTGAGGGTACTGTAGAGCGTACTTCTTAAGCAGAAGTGGGAGCGCCACGGAAGCGCCGAACACTACAGCACCACCTACTGCCAATGCTGCTGGATTTATGTTCAATGATGGAAAACTCTGGGGAGAAAAGTTGTAAATCTTTATAGCAGCTATCGAACATACGTCATAAGAACTTCTATCACTTGAAAGTCAGAATACGAACTACATGAAACAAATGGCGAGGGCTTTGCTCGTTTGCATGCGAGGTTAATATTTTGCTACTAGTGTTGAACATTAGCATCTCTCAGAGCGCCCTAATGAGCTCTTCTTTGTTTTGTTTTGTTGCTATTGCTATTGCAATATGATGCTGCAGGGAACCTACCACCTACTTTACCTCAGGCTGGTTGCACTATGGCGTTAGTTCGCATATGCCAAAAAGAGGTACTTAGAACTCTGCGGAATCTTAACGTGAATAAAGCTAGCGGGCCAGATGGAATTCCAGCGGTAGTTCTACGTAATTGTACGCCTGAGTTGTCTCCTATTCTCACATGCCTGTATCGCCTCTCACTTGAGACTGGTGTAGTTCCCAGGTCGTGGAAGCATGCGAACGTGCAACCTGTGCCCAAAAAAGGAAGCAGAGCTGACCCTGTCAACTATAGACCTATCTCAGTTACTTCCATACTCTGTAAGACTATGAAATGTGTGCTGAATAACCGTCTCCTGCCGTAACTTGAAGACAACGACCTCTTCAGTGATCGCCAGTACGGATTCCGACAAGGGCGATCTACTGGGGATCTTCTTGTGTATGCCTGTCACTTATGGAGCGAGGCTCTATAGCCTATTCTATAATAGTAAGGCCACTTGCAGTATTTTTGGACATTTCAAAAGCTTTTGATAGAGTCTGGCATGCAAGCCTTTTAAGTAAGCTTCCATGTTATGGGCTTCCCACAGATCTTTGGAATTGGATCTCGGATTTTTTGAGTGAACGTTCCATTCGCGTGGTCTTAGAAGGCTACTCTTCCGAACGTAGGGCGATAGATGCCGAGGTCCTCTAGGTTCCGTACTGTCTGCAACACTCGTTCTGCTGCATATCAATGATATGTTAATTCCAGGTACCTATGAGTATGCTGATAACAGCACAGTTGTAGATAGGTACTTGATCAATGCAAGGGTCAGTGGAGAGGAAATCCAATCTTGTCAAGATTCTATGGTTAGCCGTTTGGATCTGACACTTAAGGCAGTCTCCGATTGGGGCGATGCCAATCTTGTCAAATTGAATGCTATCAAAACGCAAGCGTGCCTATTCTCTACAAAATGGACTCCCTTTAAGCTGACTCCGACTTTTCGTGATATAGCCATACTGCTAGTCTACCATCTCCATCTACTTGGAATGGACCTGTCGTCCAATTTGAACTTCGGCCGATACATTGAATCCTTGGCCAAAAATGCAGCCAAAAAGGAAGCTTGGCATCCTTTCCAGGGTGAGGCGTTAGTTCACACCGGCACAGGTGCTTCAGTTTTATCAAGCACAAGTCCGGTTGTGTATGGAGCACTGCTGCCACCTTTGGGATGGCTCTGCTACATACCAACTGGCCACCTTGGATCCAATTAACAAGCGTGCCAAGAGGTTTATAGGTGCCTGCTTATCGGTATTTTACAGGATATATCACGGAGAGTGTGCGATGGAATTACACAATTTAATTCCGCCTTCCCCTTTCCATCATCGGGGGACTAGGCGTAGGCTTGGATTCCATCCCTATGTTGTGCATATTCCAAAGATACGCACAAAGCATTACGCTTCCACATTTATATGGCGAACGGCTATGGAGTGGAATTCCCTGCCTGCAGACTTGTTCCCTGAACGTTATAACATGGACCTTTTCAAGGCGAGAGTGACTAGGCATTATTTAGGTGTGCATGCTTCATCGTCGATCTCATCGTCACTTTCCATTAGGTGAGATGGAGATCAAATGCACACTTACATTTAAATAAAAAAAAGATAATTATTATGCTATACTTCTAGTCAAAACATTTGTGAAATGAAGACTTACCCCACTCCAAAGCCCAGTCGACTGAACGGCTCTCTTTGCAGGAATTTTGAGGAAAGGGATTGAAAACTCCAAATTCACCTAAAAATACATTATGATCATACCATACAGTCTATAAAGATCATCTTGACTCTATAATAATAATAATGTGCCTAACTCAATCCATCCAGGAACCTCCTCATCTAGTCAAAGTGCTTACCGCTAGGTTCCAGAGATCATCGCACGCCGAAATACCATTACTAAACCAAAAAATCAACTTTCCGTAAATAAGTCATTAAAGTTCAAATTTGAATAGCGAGATTTTCGTTTTGTGACTATATTGGTTTCAACGTTAATAGCAAATATAACTATATGATGTTTTTATTACCATGATATTCATCCGTTTTTTTTAATAATAATAATAACGCACACACTCAACATAGCCCCGCACTGGGGAAATCCTGTGTCGCGGGTGCTATGGACACACACATAGACAACACAAATTACACGAGATTATTAAATTAAACGCACGAGAGAAATAAATGTAGGCCATATAAATATGTATTTCTCCGGGCCCGGGAATCGAACCTGGAACCTCTGCGTGGCAGTCCGGCGGCATGGTAAACGTTCGGCCACAGAGGCAGTTTCAGTTTTTCTGAAATTACTTCAGCAGTTTCCTTTTAATATAGATACCATGATCAAACAAACAAAGAAAAATCTCCTTCGACCCAACTAGGCTCAAACCAGCGACTCTTGCCTCAACGTGGCTAGTGTTCTGCCAAATAAGCTGCAGACCGAGTTAGCAAATATTACGAATTTATCTATGTGTTTATTGCGGATTTTTGTATTTTTTTTTATAATATCAAGTGACGGGACGAACGAGTCGTACACCGACGATAAGCTACACGTCTGTATGTAACAAATGCAGTGCCACTAAAAGCTTTAAATCGCAAAGATCTGAGGGGCATTGCTATTGCGCCCTGAAACATAAGTTGACAAGTCTCATGTGCATGTGATTGCACCAGCACCCTTACCCTTCAAGACGGGAACGCAGTAATTATGATTATTATTATTATGGTGGCTTCATTCGAGACATGTGCAGCCCCTCATCACTGCGATCATTAACTGATCAGAGCCAAGACTAACAGCATTGAAGAACTAAAGGACTTTCCTGGCTCCGATAGATTTTATGTCCTCTGGTTGTAGCATGTACCTTCCTAGTATAGAGCTTTGTACGCTCATCAGGGGGTAGCATTAGGTGAGAAGATGAACAGGAGTTTCATTCGCCTCGTGGCAGAATCTACACTCTCTATTCTCTCTGCCCAATATGTTTCTTCAAGCCTCAATGTCCTGTTAAGACTCTAGTAAGCTTTATGATGCCATCCCTGTCCAATGACAGAGCCTCTCTACAGTGTTTGACACTGTAGGCAGTTATCAGGGTTTTTAAATGCTCAAGACTCTTGCTCTGTAGCCACACTTCGCGGGAGACGTGTGTGCTTTCGTTCAGCAGAGTGAGCTTTGCCAGGCTGTATGTTATCCTAATAAAGGGTATGTGGGGGACACAGTAATGCTAAAATAAATAGGTAAGGTGGTACCTAGTACTTCCCTGGACAAACTTGACGATCAAGGAGCTCTACTGCTGCCGATTGTAATGGGTTTTGGACGGCTTATTTGTTGTCCTCACACGTTTAAAGCCTTTTAAAGTCCAATACAAAGAACCGTACCAATTCGTAAGATGCTGATTAGGTCTCTACCTCAGTTGGCGAGTGGTGGCCCCGGTGAAGCATACGGACACTGCGGCTCTACTCTCGAAGCATATCCATAGTTACGCGTTTTCCCACTATAGATGACCTACGGGACTTCTCTTGAAGTCCATCAATGAAAAGACCAGTCCGTTCGAAACTATGAAATTGCGTTATCATACATTCTTAGTTCTAGCCCTAATCGAAACTGAAGCCCGAACTTGCCGTAACTATGGATTTCGTGCTTCGAGGGTAGGGCCCCTGATGGGAATTGATTGCAGCAGGCTATTTGACTCAAAAACTTCTAGTGCTTTACCACCCGAGGGGCATAAAGTTACTCAAGACGATTCCAAACTTCCTCCCTGTAGCGGACTGTATCAATGGGGTTCAGGTGGGTGCTATTAAAGAGTGAGCAAGACCAAAGAAAATGTACTTTATAGTTTATACAAGCAACGCACAGCTATCGACCAAAACAAAAACAATAGTGACAATAACAAGAAAAGGCGCCAAAAACAAGTACATTTAAATATAAAATAAAACTTAAAAAGTCTATATAAAATTATATGCCAAAAAGTAAAACCACAATTCGTAACCACTGTCACTCTGTAATCGGATTAGTGCTGCGAGAGTAGGTCCCTGGTTCGAATCCAGTTACATCGAAGGAATTTTTCTTTGTGTTTGTTTGGTTTTTGTATCAATGATGTTAGTCAATGAGGACCATTGCTAACATTTTATTTTTCAGTCACACATTTGTTAATATAACCTAGTGTATTTTTTAATATCGCACGTACGATTTAATTAAATAAATAATTTCATAATTTGATAATCACTCTATAATGAAATAAACTGGGACATGTAAAGTCGCACATGAAACTGTCGTAACTCAAAATTGTGGAATTTAGTAGGAGTAAGTTCGTTCCATTACTTGATTTATAAAAGAATTGACAAAACATGATTTGAAAATTAAAAACAAATACTTAATGATTCTTATTACGAATAATGGGATTATTTTTTATTAATCCATAATATTTAGTTATCCGTTTATAAATGAGAATATATATTTATTGGTTTCGTTCATGGCAATATAAGGGAATGGACCGGAGCCACAAACGCAGAACAACTGTTTCGTTTGACCGTGGATAGGCAGTGGCGTAGCGTCGTTTGCCGCCACCGGGGGCCAACCTAAAATTTGTTAACCTCTCTATTTTCACGATTACTAAAGTACTTCGTTCGGGCAGGCTCGGCTTGATTGTGTTTTAACGAGTATATTGGCTGTCGCCACCTTTCTGTTGTTCAGGATACCTTTCTCTCAAATAGTGGAATTTATTTTCTAATTTTAAGTAAAAAAACCAGTTAACCTCGCCGCCGCCTCTCCGTCAATCTCCAGTAGTGGAGAGGCACTTTAGGAAGTTCAATTCAATACAAATTTAATTAAAATGAATAGCGCCATCTCTAGCCAGGGCTGGTAGCTGTAAAGTTACCTAACTGGGCGACGAACCCCTTTCATAGATGGCGCTACGGCTAAAAAGTCCTTGAAAACCAAATACAAAGATCCGAGAAACCAGCACATAGAAAAGTTAGTGAGATGCGCTGCTTCGTTCCGTGGCTTAGATGGCATAGCGTCTGGTACGGTTTGCTAGAAGTCGTCGGTTCGAATCCTGCCGATCGAAGGAGTTTTTTCTAAGTGTTCGATCTTTGTATTAATAATTATAACAAACTAGTGGAGTAATTTCACAAAAAATAATTGAATATCAATTCAATACAAATTTAAGAAGAAGAAGGTTAATATAATTCAGGATTTTTTAACTTTCAAATCGTGTTTTCTCAATTCCACAATTTTTTAAGTTACGTCAGTACTTGGTTTAATGTGAAAAGGATCGAATGCATTGTCAAATCAATTATTTATAAATATGTACACTTACAGTAACATCTTCGTCCAATGCGTTGAAAGTAAACAATCTGGGTTTCCTATATTCACCTCTTTTATCTGCCATACCATCACTCTTAACTATCACTAACAAAATACAGACTAAAAAATAAAATCCAGCCCACATTTTACGTTATAATCCAGGCATACTTTTAAATTTAATTTTAGAATTCATCCGTTGCTAAGATAAATGTTTTAATTTTGAAATCTTCTGTTTTCTGTGAACGTTTTTAGTATATGGCAAGTAGAAAAATATGAGGTGTTTTAATTTGTGCTAATAACGTGCGATTTTTTCCGCGGGTTCTTCAGGAACAACAGTTCAAAGACGTTTGATGCAATATTCGAATTGTGTTTGCAGAAATAGTAGAGGAAACCACGGAGCATGACTGCAAAAGTTTTCCGTGTATTGTTGCGCACGAAGGAAAAACAAGAAATGAAAGATGTAACACCTTAGAACTATGCGAGATCGCGAACAAATCGGGGTTAAGAATCTAATAGATGTGGTTACCTGTAATGCCATCCTTATGATAACTAACGCATTCGCATTTCGGTAATGTTCAAGTTACTAAGACCTAAAGTTTTTTTGCTAAGTACCTAGTAAAAAATACAATAACGCTAATTTTGCTTAGCTAACTGAAATTAAATAAGATATAAAAAATATTAGAGGGGGTTGTAGATCTCGTTTTACGATCGAGTATATAACCAGAAATAGAGACGAAATGTCATTTAATTTGTTTGAAAACTATTCTGCCAAATCATTACGGTGACAACTAAATTACACTTGTCAATGACATATCAATAATGGTAATATATAGAGTTTAAAACACGTTTAATAACGTTTTTCATTAGTCTTATGTATTATTAGCATTGTTCCGTCACTTTTTATAGTCAAACACATTTTTAATAGGTATTTGTTTTAGTTATCAAACAAATAAAAAATAAACAAGATCGACGAATTTAAAATTGCCCCACTGTAAGAAATCGGTGAAAAATTCCTAGGTTCACCAGCTTTGAACTGAATGCTCTCCGCGATGCACAGTCGTTTGCTGAGTTTCCCCTGCAATTGGACGTAGTTAAACAAAAAGGATCCAATGCATATCCAGTCACTTTCGAGATATGGCAGTTTGAAGTTTAAAAGTGTTTCTGTTAACTCTTGTTTTATTTTCAAAACTTATAGTGTTATGTAACTCCAGAGACATTTATTAATGTTTATATGTTGGATTTTTGCTGATCTAAGAGGTTAGACTTTAGGACCCGTTTGGTACCTACATACATATAACTCATTTTTTGATAATTTTATGGATTGGATCCTTTTTGCTGTTAAATACGTCCAATTTTGTGTAGGAATACAGCTCGTGTGATACGTAGGTAACGTTTAAAAATATTGTAACGTAATAATATCATTACGTATTTTTCTAACGGCTATTCTGGTATTTTATAAACTCTACGACAAGTTATGGGTCGTTTCCACGCATTATGATTTTTGACAACTACTTTATATCTCGCTTTACGTTAATAACTCAATTTTGCATGAAACTATATAGCATAACAGACAATTTTTTTGGTTAATATTATTTCAAAATTTGTGAAATATAGTTTGAGAGTCTCCTTGATTTGTGGATTCTGGGATCCTTGGCCGAGAATCATATGTAAATTGCACACGTAGACACCGAAAAGTGGCAAATAGACCGAAAGACCGCTGGTGGCGCGAAAAAGACAACCAATCTGACATCTATTTGACAGACGTCAGTCTATGGTCAAGGAGACGCGCTATAGAAAGAATTTAAAACAAATCTATTATTTTTGGATTAGATATAATAATTAGTTTATGAAATATAGGCCCACTGCTGGGCACAATGAAAAGGCTTGGGCTATAGTTTCCACACGAGACCGATGGAGTTGGGAACTTCACACACATAATTGGAAGCTATAGCACAGGTTTCGCTAGTTTTAAGGTCGTATTCCAGAACTCTACTCAATGCTCAAGTCAGGACTTGAGCAGACTTGAGTATGATTTCAAGCACTGGAAATACGACCCTAATGGCAAGGATTTGAGTATGATTTTCAGTGCTTTAAATCGTACTCTAGTCCTGACTTGAGCATTCAGTTCTGGAATACGACCCTTAGATTCCAGCGCCCTCGTAAACTAAATCACGAATACAACTAGTACTTATTAATGTATGAAACAAGATTAGCAGCGGTAGAGCTCTATGTGAAAGAGTTCGTCCAGGGCAGTACTGTCACCTTACCTATTTCTGCCGCCAAGCAGTAATGTGAGCTTTACTGCGTTCCCGTTTGGAAGGGTGCTGGTGAAATTACAGGCACATGGGACTTCTCAACTTTTGTCTTAGGGTGATGGGTGCAGTGGCAGTCACCCTAAGATCTTTGCGATTTAAAACTCTAAGTGTCAGTTCAACTTTTTTTTCTTTTTTTTTATTAGACAACAACACATACGTTGCTCTGATCCCAAAGTAAGTAGCTAAAGCACTTGTGTTATGAAAATCAGAAACAACAACGGTACCACAAACACCCAGACCCGAGACAATATAGAAAAGTTAGTTTTCTACACTGACCCGGCCGGGGATCGAACCACGGACCTCAGATATGGCGCACCTTGAAAACCGGTGTTCAAGCCACTCGACCACGGAGGCCGTCAACTGTTATGCATAGGCGTGTCGTTTACCACCAGGTGCACGACTTGTTCGTCCCTGTCACTTGATGCTTAGACCTTTTCTTCTCTCTATATTATTGCGTGGTAGTGTGTAAGCATCATCAAACCATTCAAGTGTCCCATTGCTGGGCACGGGCCTTCTCTCAGACGAGGGTTTAGGCCATAGTCCGGCGCGCTGGCCCAATGCGGATTGGGGACTTTACACGTTTTCCTAGGGTGGTGAAGTTTCTTCGACATGCAGATTTAATTATGATGTTCTCCTTCACCGAAAAGCTCATAGTAAATTACGTTTTATATTTCGCACGTAGGTACAGTACAGTTGCAGTGCCGATGCAGTTTTTAGTAAGTATTCTCACAATAGCGATACGCGATTGCGAATGATTTCAATATTCGCCTCGTTAGTAATTACTAAATCTGTCATTCGAATGACAAATTAGTAACCTACTAATTTTCGTCTTTCAATGATCCAATACACTACAAATCCATAAGTTCCATAGAGCACAACGATACTCGTGATCAGTTCTCTCTGAACTTTCTCTGACATATTATAGTACAAGTATAAATACCGTAAATGTGTCGGGTACAGGGAGCTTTTGATATGGACATGGCGAATGATCTGGTGGAATTCCGACATAAGAATCATTCGACTAGTGCATCCGACCGAATGGCAGGGGGATTCGGTATCGGTAATCATTCGACTCGAGTGGAATGATTGCGCCTGGATCCTGGATTCGACTTAGGCGAATGATTTATCCATTCGAATGATTAGTATTAGTAACTAGAGGTGGGCGTTTTTGCTTTTTAAAATGCTTATTTACATAAGCACGCTTTTTAATTTAAGCGTAAGCGTTGGTCAGTTCAATACTCAACAATTTGATTTTTTACAACACATGTTATGTTTCAAGTCCCGCCATTTATGCTTCCTAAACAAATGAATTCGTCAATGTGAATAATAATTTTATAAGTAAAAATAAAACACGTGTTTTACAAATAAACTTAATTATCTTAATACTTTTTGTGGTCTACTCTTGCTTTTCGCTATAAACACAACCTTAAAAATTTATTTATTAACTAGGTTATTGATGTTGTTGCAAGCTCGCATCAGAAACGAATTCTTTCTGTAATTGGTTGAAGCTATAGGTATGTCAAATACTTTGTTAACCCTGAAATTACGTGTGGGAGTCAAAAAGTTGAGTTTTTTATAGTAATTCGTGACAATCAATTATATTTTGAGAAATTTTTAGAACATATGCGCAATCGGCTATTTGACGACGCATGTAGAGGGGAAGAATATGATGAATTTTACAAATGTGCAGGTAATCATTATTATGATATTGTCGCTTAGTTCGGAAACATAAAAAACTAATCAATCTTTTTTGAATACGTTCTATACGCGAAATGTACACCTCATATGGCGAGTTCCAGATCTGTGACGCGTATTCGAGAATACTGCGAACAAACGTACAATACAAGATTTTAACTGTCTTAATATCCCGAAACTCACTAGACCGACGCATTATAAACCCCAGCGCACGTGATGCTTTGGTCACCATTCTGTCAATGTGCGCATCAAACAAAAGTTTATTGTCGAATGTGACACCCAAATCACTAACTATGTTTTCTCGTTTAAGTACCTGGCCGCCAAGTTTATAATTAAAGACTAAGAGATTGTTTTTGCGACTGTAGGTTAAGGTTGGTTGGTTGGTAGGTTAATTTTGAAGGGTAAGGGTGCTGGAGAATTACAGGCACATGGGACTTGTCAACTTGTGTCTCAGAGCTTTAAAGCTCTGAGTGGCGCTGCATTTGTTATGCACCGGCATGTAGCTTACCATCGGGCGCGCGACTAGTTCGTCCCATCACTTGATATTATAAAAAAAAAATTTGGGTGTAATTTGTGGTTGTCTATGGGTATACACCGCTATGGCGCCCGCAACACAGGGTTTCCATAGTGCGGGGCTCTGAGTGTCTGTGTTGTTTATTTAAGAAAAGCATATCATAGATAGAGCATAGCATATCCTATAAAAGTGCAGTAGAGCTCCTTGTGAAAGAGTTCAGCAAAGGAAGTACTGCCACCTTACCTCTATCCACCGCCAAGCAGTAATGTCAGTATCACTGCGTTCAGGTTTTGAAGTGAATAAGCATAGTACGTGTAGAATAAGAACAATTAGGGCAACTCCCGTCTTCTGTTTGGCGCATCAATACCTAAACTTTACTGGAAGCGTAGGGTTGCCACATTATATTATTTTAGTTGTGCCTAGAGTGTTTTCGTCCTACATTGCAATGACCTTTGTCAAATGCAATACGTACATTAACTGACTTTTTTATCCCATTTTTATGGCACTGGTATGTCGATTATGGGATTACGGTTACGAAATAACAATGCGTGCGAGTGCCTGCGAGTGCGCGCGAGTGCTTGTGAGTGGGCGAGA